CAGCCCTTCAAAAACCTGGAATGGCGCCCCTGGTGCACCTAAATCAAATCAAGCTAACCATAACACAAGTTTTGGCGTTACAGAATTTACTTGTTTCTTTAAAAAAAAAAAAAAAAAAAAAAAAAAAAAAAAAAAAAAAAATCGAAAATCGATTAATTGCGGCGGAAGAATCGATTCAGCCGAAAACTCGAGCACGGAAATTCGACTCGATATTACCGCGAATCGAATCGAAAAAAGTGGCATGGCTAGCCCCTCACTTCTGGCACACCACACGGAGAAAAAAAACTCGTGCGTGGGACCCGAAGTTTAGGTCATATGGATCTCTGAAGTTTTCAGATTGAGCATCTGAACACTTTAGGTCTAGCTGCCGAAGTTCGGATCATACATCTGAAGTACTTCAGATGTGAGAACCGAAGTACTTCAGATGTAAGAACTGAAGTTTCAGATGTATGATCCGAACTCCGGCAGCTAGACCTAAAGTGTTCAGATGCTCAATCTGAAAACTTCAGAGATCCGTATGACCTAAACTTCAGGTCCCACGCACGAGTTTTTTTTCCATGCACGGGAAGGAGGGGGAGTCTACATATTGGAATCGAGCCGGGGAAAACCAAGATCCATCCATATCGGTCAGTCATTGCGCGGATTTCCCCGCCCGGGGTGAGCCTCATCCACTGGCTCGTGACGTCAGCATTACTGCCGCGAAAGCGGAAAAGCACGGATACAATGCTTTTCTTATGGGAGAGAGCAAGTTTTTCTTAATGAATCATTTAAATTTCTTCCTTTTAAATCCTTTGAAACTTTCCGAGTGTCGAAAGGAACGTTTAGACATTAGCATTGAGGGTTTCGATTTTGCCGAATTTGTGTTCCTTCGACTTCACAGTTTACTCTGCAGCAGCCATTTTCACACGCGAATCTACACCACCAGATGGCTTGTTACATCGCTGACTTCCGAGATTATTTAAAAATATAAACGCGCAAATTCAGCTGAATTGAAACCCTGGACGCTAATGTCGAAACGTTCCTTTCGACACTCGGAGAGTTTCAAACGATTTAAAAGTGATAAATTTAAATAAATGATTCATTAAGAAAAATTTGCTCTCTCCCATAAGAAAAGCATTGTTTCCGACTTTTCTGGTTCTCGCGGCAGCAATGCTGACGTCATGCGCAGAAGATTCTCATTTCGGTTTCAGGAATGACTGACCTGTATGGATGGATCTTGGGGGAAAACCACTCCGCACCAAGAGGGAAAAAAAGGCGGAAAAATTGTCTGAAGGAGTTTCGGCTTGCTTGTTGCATGTTGGAAACTGAAATTAATAACTAGTAATTTCTGACATCTATGCAGATCCACATGAAATGCACGGCTTATTTAACACATAAACACTAAATTGCTAATTTTATGGAGACCAATGGGCAGGAAATGGGTGGACAACGGTCTGTTTTCGAAGGTCCTTCTACGAAAAATGTCAGAATAGAACGTTTTTGGGGAGAAATAAACAATGCCACTTGTCCATTTAAGCACCTCTTTCATGTTATGCAAAATTAAAGGATTTTAAATACTGCAAAGCCCTACCATTTATTTGCTCTCCGTTTCACATACCTATATACCTCGCATCCAAAAAGCTTTGGACAACTTCTGTGATGTGTATAAAGCACATGGGCTCAGAACAGAGCGTGGCTACTCTCCTAAAGAGATATTTTTGACTGAGAAGTTCAGTAATTTTAATCCTGTATCAGGTCATCCCAATTTTGATACTGTAGATTTGCAAGAGGAAACAATCTACCAGGAGTACTGTGAATTTGCTCAAAATGTAATTCCGGATACCTTGGTAGATGATGGAAATTCTGGGAAAAATGCGTACTTGCATCTCCTGAATGCTATTCAAGACTCTGTTGTCCAATTCTTCAGGCATTATCCTTTTGGTTTCCTTCATTTTTACCCACAATTTATTATAAGACTGGTAGCTCCCTCTTATTTCTCTTGTACTACCTTTTCAGACCAGTTATGGAAGTTACGTTATTCTACTCTAGAAGACATTCATAAAATAAAATACTTATGCTGACAGTTTTTTGTTACAATTCTTTTGCTGGAGATGGAAACTATACTATGTCCGCTAACCTCCTCAAAATGCGGGTTTTTTATCTCCAAAGCTTCGATTTCTGCATCAGTTAAAATAACAAACAATGCAGGAAAATCTCTGGGCAGTTGTTGCCTGCTTGCCCTTGCTTTAGCAATGCTGTTTAGCAGTAAGGGGCATAATTTTGGCTCATTTTCTCTTGCATCAGTAGTAATCTACGTACAAACCACCAATGCTAACTCCAGAAAGTTAAATGTTGGTACTACTGGTAAAATAATTTTCCAAAGATGCCGACAGTAGTGATAGATTACTTGTTAGTATTCTCATCGAGCGAAAAAAAAAAAAAAAAATCCATTCATCCATGAAAAATTAAAACAGCACTGGTACTGGCGTTTCAACTTGGGAAGAGGGATTGAAGGGTCTTCCCGCCTACGAAAATACTATAATAAATGGTCGTTCAAGGGCTGTTTATTTTGCACCAGATTTTGACTCAATACATAGTGAACGACATCGAAACATTTAGCAGAACTGCATTCTTGCATTGAACACACTGCCTAGGAGAGGTGGTGAATATGGACATTATCGAATTGCTAAAAGTGTGAGTAGTAATACCTCGCTGACCTAAAAGGTCCATAAAAATGGGCACCTTTCAGTTTCAAATAAACTGCTCAAATTTTGCGTGAGATTTTCTCATATTCTGGAAAAGATCTCTAAAAACAGATAGGAGAGGCAAGAAAGGACCCTTTACAATTAGGTTGAATGGTCAAGTTTAGAGTGAAAACTTCATGATGCAAAAAAAGAGATGAGGAATAGAGTGGAGACTCGAGTGAAGGTGGTTCGTCACGGTTTCTGTGATGGTCAAGCTGGCGTGCCATACATCGCATTGGTTCAGTCGGTAATCTCAGCAGGTTTTGAATATTTAGACAAAGCAATGGCCCTGGCGCATGAACTGTTAGAATCATTCGGGACCAAAAATTTGCCTAATTTCAGAGAACTGAAAGCAGGAGACGATTAGAGAGAGAACCTCGCAACCTATCCCTGGGCAGATTTTGCTAGAAATTCAAGATCTGGGAAAATAATTGATTTGATCTGAGCTATATACTCCATGCCCGTTCAACCACTTCCAAAACCTTCACATATCACCTTAACAAACATACCAGAAAAATCCCAGCTGAACAGCCCTAGCTTCCGAAGCAGGCTTTTACATCACAATGATCATACTTTGAGGTAGCTTCGCCTACCTGGCCTAACGTTGAGAATATTGGGAAGTGTGTGCCAGCAGAGTAAATCTACATTGATTCTTAGAATAATGGAATGTAATTAAAATACAATAATGAATCAGAAACTTGGAAATAGCTGGGTACTTAATGATTGTACAAGAGAAGGATAACTTACGGAGAGAGGAACAAAATAGAGAGAAATTCAGTAGAGGGAGGTGCATTAGAACACCTGAATCATACCATGCTTAGGAATTAAGCAATACCCCCTAGACTGACCATACCTAAACATTGCTTTGAGGTTAAAATACATCTGGTTGTAACGTTTTACACGGCTCTTATGGGGAAAACCTGAAAAAAGCTATTTTTGTCTCCTTAGAGTAAAATTTGACGGGGCAAGAATTTTTTCCCTTAAACTGCAAGTATGAAGGCCTTGAATGCATTTAACTTCGGCGGCGGAATCTGTTTCTGGGTGGAAAAAAAAAATTTTAAATAGTGGAAGTACATACTACATAGGGACTGCATCCGTCAAGGGAATGGAGAGGAGGGGAGGGGGATGTGGTTATCCACTTGAATGTTTTAAATTCTCTGCCAGGAAAGTGATTCAGTGGCAAATTTTTGGTATATATGTTCCACGAATATTAAACTTCCAAGAAACGATCACTTAAGGCCACCAGTCATCTCATGTTGCTCTTAATTTCACTTATTCACCTCGTCCCATAAGGTCCTGTGTAAAAACTCACAACCTGATGCACTCACACACTCACAGATGAGTTCCGAATGTTTAGGTATGGTCAGTCTAGGGGGTATTGTCATAGTATTGATAGGAAGCTGGGTTCTTATCATTCTCTCTAGAAAAAAATCAATATTATCAATTTGTGATAGAACTCAGGGAGCCTGAATGTGCCAGGCAGATGAAACTGAGCAGGAATGAGAAGAGAATGGGACAAGGTTCTACCGAAAGAGAAGGCTGTTGGTTAGAGATCAAGCATTGAAAGAAAGATGCATTTCTACTGATAATAGACCGGACAGACGTTATCTCAAAAGGGACACATATCTCGCTCATGGACATGGAAGACATGTCAAACAAGGGTTTAAAATCGTGAAGAGGAGGAAAAAGACGAAGGTGGAGGAGCGCAGAAAGCATTAAATAAGGAGAATTGCGAGTTGCTCAGAGGAATTTCGAGTTTGAGTTAGTATCAATGGGCATATAAAAGGAACGCGCGTCTCTGAGCTCTGAGCAGGCCCAGTCAAATTTCGGACCCCACGGCTGCGTACGCACCTGCGTGAAAAGTGAGCCATTTCGGCACGAAATCATCGCTCGTTGTGAAGATTCGTCGACTAGAATACACAATACGGACACTTAAAATTACTGGTAAATGAAATGAAATAGAAACTAATGAAACTAGACACAATTAACAATGATGCTATAATACCCTATGGTTACTCCATGTTTATCGATCCAAACTCTCCCACGGAGGGGTCATGGATCGATGAAAGGACGATCGCCATATTATTCGCGTCTGCGCACTAGCTGATTTTGAAGAGTTGCGATTACGATACCCCGTGTGGCTGGAGACGGCGAAAATCCGGTCAGAAACGCGTGATTTACGAGTGATATAAAACTGTGCTACGGCAAAAAGTGAGTACTTACCACCGATTAATTGGACGAGATTACGTGCGAATGCCTAAATCCTGAGAATCTACGCAAAAAAACCTTGGAAACTGCGTATTTTGACTCGAACAAGTGCTGTTCCAAGCGGACGATCTCAGAATTTTGCCGCAAACACAACATTCATTCATAAGAATTACTTTCATTGGTTGTGGTTATTTTTAACAGCCAATCAGGCAGGGGCTTTAATTAACTTGTTCGAGCGTGTTTCAAACAAAGCATTTCACAATCATAACAAAGTAGTTAGTGATATCAGTGATAAGTGATAAGCGAAAATAAATCATTTCCTCCGTCAGTAATGTTGGTTTCTACCACATCTTAAGTGATCTATAAATTACAGTGAGTTTTATACCACTTTGCGTTACATATTCAGGGTGTAATGTGAATTGAACCATTATGCAACCTTGAAACATGGCTTGCAATGAAGAACTCATTGATGTGTGTTATGCAACTATAGTTCATGCCAAAAAAGCTCTCCTGCTTTTAAGAGAGAAAAAAAGATCTTCATCATTCTAGAATTTAAAGCAAATTCAAGAATCAATGTAAAGCTCGCTTTAGAAAACCTGTCTCTTTACGCTACCTGCGCAGAACATGCAATTCTGCACCTCGTGCAAACAGCAGAAGAGGACAAGTTATCTGAATCTGGTTCTTGCGGGCAGATTGTTGAAAGCTTAAAGCGTTGCCTACGAGAATGGAGAGGCCGTAACTACGATTCTGTGACGTCACACTAGTAGATGAAACTCGGCCGCGGTTTAACACGCGTTTTTATGGGAGAACGCTTGCCGCGCGATGATTTCTCGCCGATATCTCTTTCAGGGTTGATCTGACGCAAAATTTCATAAGAACCGTTTAGAAAGAAGATGAAATTTCACTTTAGAAAACTAACTAGTTTATTTGTGACATTGTCTAAATATCGAGGAAATGAATGCGTAATACCGAAAATCGTTACTCCACTCAGATTCAAACGGGCCGCTCGCGCAACTTCGGCCGATCGAGAGCCACTCTGATTGGTCCACGCAGCGACTGCCTCACTCATCGATGCACTGATGACCTGGAGATGCTTGTTGTTTTCGGTAAATATCTACTAGCTTGACGTCACAGAACTGACTAGTTACGGCCTCTCCATTCTCGTAGGCAACGCTTAAAGCAGCCCGATACGACATCAAATTGTGATATATTGCATGGTTAAAAGAGGGCTATGTCTTGTCATATTGTATCGACATAGTTTCAATAATCTAGCCGCAGCAGATATTTTGCTTGGCTGTGAAAGTTGGCAAACTTATCTGGCATGGACTCATTTTTTTCGCGCTTGCAATAAAGAAATGCAGTATGAAGAAACAATTTTATAATGTACTTATTCAAATGTCAACATATTCTTCATCTTAGTCAGCCCTCACTACAGTTGAGCCGCAATAGATTAATGGCAGTCTTATTGCTTAGTTGATTTGATCTAGACTAATTGCAGATTCGATTTGATGTCAGGCGGCAGCAAGACAAATAACAAAAAATGTGGTTGTATTTTGAATTAAGCTGCTACTTGAGGCTAGTAACGTACAGAGGGTACATGCTTTGCCGTGCAATCTGAGGCCAGACTGCTGTGGGCTGGGCCCCCCTCCTCGCGGCTGCAATCGGCCTGCCCCGGGACATACCTGATACTCTGTGATGTCAAGAGGGCATGAGGTGTGACCACTATTGTTTATCTGCCTTGGGGTTACGGTTTACTCCCTTGATTCTGACCATTGCCTACTAGAATAGGGAGGCTAACAACTCAGTTTTGTGACATCAAACCAGTGGATATTTACCAAAAACAACGATCATCTTCCGGTCATCGGAGCATCAATAAGTGAGGCAGTTGCCGTGTTGACCGTTCAGAGTGACCCCTGAATGGTTGAAATTGCATGAGCCAAGCGTTTGAATCTTGGAGGAAGAATGATTTTTGGTATTTAGCTTTCATTTCCCCAATTACCAGACAATGTCATTTATGGACTAATCAATTTTCTGAATTGAAATTTTAACCCATTTAGAAGAGGCTCCTAGGAATTTTTCCATCAGTTCAACCCTTTAACAGATTTTGGCATAAATGGAACACACATCATACGTTCTCCCATAAGAACACATGTTAAATTGCAGCAGTGTTTCATCTACTAGCGTAGCATCACGGAAATGTAGTTACAGCCTCTCTACTCTCGTAGGCAATGTTTCGACATGATAGTGACTTAACATCTCAGTCTCATCAAAACCAAATCACTCCTTGTGACTTAAAATAGAGTTTAGGCAAACCAACAGTTTCTAGGATCATTGATATAAAAAACTTGGGGCAAAATTTTCTCCTAGGGCCACTATTATATACCCAACTGCCTCGGCTGAGAGAAAGAAAATTGAGCTTTCAGCCAATTTTAGGGGGTTCGCAACGAAATTCTCAGGTGTGCAACACCCAACAAACTATGTTTCTTGAATATATTTTATTCAAAGGCACAATCAATAGAGAAAAGTTGATGCATCAGCTTTGGTTTTGATCACCTTTGAAGGTTGTATCTAAAAGTCTAATGAGTGGCTGTCCCAAAATGTCTCCAAAGACAATCAACAAATTTCGCTCAAATTTGAGGAGATTAAATGTTCAACACGATGGCACCATACATCCATCAGGAAAAATTTTGGGGCACCCTCTTCACCAAAGAAAGCAGATGTAAGTAAGTAGTTCTCCTGTGGCAGGTAGTTGAATAATCAGCTTTCAAGAATGTTAATTGAGCTAAGTGGTAAGAGCTACAAGAAAAATTGCACATGTCTTCCACAAATCCCCCCCCCCCTTATACTAAGGAAATCAAAAGTGACTGAAGTCCCTTTTACTTCGGATAGTAAAGTAGCTTGTGTAAATAAATGAAAGATTAGTGTTGACACACCATGATGAGCCCCCCATTCATGAGGAACTTTTGTCCTTCTACTTCTGTTAAATAAGTGGCTCTTTTTTCTCTCTCTTTCCTTTGTTTGATTTTTTTAAATTTTCTGATTTTTTTTCTTTTTTTATCTAGGTAGCTTCAACTTTCTTGGAATTTTTAAAATAGACCTCTGAATAATCCACCTGAAAAATTCAACTGTATAATCTACCTCTAACATAAAGTTCCTCAATCAGTAAGTCAATGCACCCCTCATCTGTCTTTTTTCAATTAATTGTTAGATTAATAGAGATACAAAATGAAAAAATAAACGTAAGTTATTTGAACTGAAAAATACGAAATTACATAATTAGGTACCTACATAGTTCATTGATTGTAACTTTGCACTTAAAAGATGATTTTTAGAAGAAAAAGAAAATTGATTTATTATGTATTGTAAAATAGTCCTGTGGCATTTACAAAAACGAGTTTATATTTGAGCAATTTCTGGTTAATTTTTTTAATGTCCATTATCAACGTTAATGTTGATCAGTTTTTGGACATTAATACATTAATGTTTGCAGTTTACTTTCAAGAATATCATTAAAAAAAAGTCTTGCAATTAAGAGGTGATATGCTTTGGAGCTGCGTGAGCAGCACCTGAGGATGGAGCTTATAGAGACCAAAAAACCTCGAAGGTTGTTATCAAGGTTGAAGGGAGTGAAACTTAGGTCATAAAATTGAAGCAAGTAATTCTGTGATGACTTATTTGTTTACATTAATTATTCACAAGTATATCTTAAAATTAAATTTCATGGCAGCATAATCCTTAAAAACTCTGTATAGATATGAGTCTTGCAGGAAACCTTAAGGAACGTAACAATTTTTTTTCAACACCAGAGCCAATCATATATCATTTTTTTTCTTGGTTTGTTGCTTTTGATTGTTTTTACTAGGAACTCTCTGCAACAAAAATTGAACATAATGAGCATTAAAAACATGAAAGAGTTTACTTCATCACTACCTTCTGGACTACCATAGAGTGTTAAAAACAATTTTTACCTTTCAATGCTGTATTTCTTGATAATTTGTTAATTTTTTCGCCAAAAATTATCAGCAAACTTCTTACACTGACTTTCAGAAAAGCAAGTTGTTTCTTTCAAAATTTCAGCCTTTCTCTGTTGGGATTATTCCTCAAATTGATATCCAATCTAATTTTCAAATATGTGGATCTGAAAGTTTTGATTAATCCTGAATGAAATCTATGTAGCAACTATGCTGTAAGGTTTTTCAGTTGTCGCAGGACCTATCAATTCATAAATATAATTATTCAAGAATAAGATTAGACTTAAGGAGTGAAATCTTTGAGTCAAAATTCAACTTTTTGTTGGTATGAAAGTTTTACAGCCTCCTAAAGTACATTTTCTCCACTTGGAGATGACATTTATGGATCAAACCTGTCAGAACTTGATATCAAGGGATATAATTAAAGGAATACCAGCTGAAGTAAACTCAGGAAATCATAAAAGTTTATCTTACTTTTCGACATCTGGCGCCAGCCCAACCTTGCTCACATTTGCAGCGATTCTTATTCTTTTTATTCTTGACACAAAATCCATTAGGACCACAATCACGCTTGCATTGACGTTTTTCACAGTGTTTGCCTTCAAAATACTTCTTACACTTGCATTTATCATCTCCAATGCATAGCCCACCGTTGATGCATTGCACAAGACATTTTGCTGAAAAAAAAAATGAAAAAAAATGATAAAAACAATTCTGTTTTAAGTGTAATTAAATAGGTAAGCATAATACAAATACAGCCAAATTTTGTACTAATGTTGAATACTCATGAAAAATTCATATTGATTAAATTTTGAATTCATATTAATTTCATATGAATGTTGGATAAAATTTAAAATTATAATTGTCTGTTCGCCCCTCAAATTCCCGATGAATACATCATTGATCTAATCGTTCACACGAATGCATGATGGATGTCTGTGCTCTCAAGAAAATGACAATTTCATTTCTACAAAACATTTTTTCCCTAAAAATATTTAGCCATCCTTTCATGCAGAGATGCTTCAGTTGCAAGACAATGAAAAATTAAGGATAATTGAAGTGCTGGGTGCAGAAAGGGTCCACGTCTCAAATGATAAATTATTGAGCAGAAATTATCAGAGAAACAACATTTTTGAAATAACTCAAAATAAGGGGTGCCAGCTTTGGGAGTGAGAACACCAAGTGAGAGTAAGGAATCTTTAAATGTTAGGGTTGGGTTCGCACAAGAACTCAATACTTAAAGCTATTATTATCCTGAAACTCACTTGAATGTTGTTTTTATACTGGTTGGACACGTTTCGGCTTCCTCAAGAGACCATCATTAGCGACACTGATGGTGATGATGATGATTTCGCTGATGATGGTCTCACGAGGAGGCTGAAACGTATCTGACCATTATAAAAACAACGTGCAAGTGAGTTTTGTAATAATAACAACTTTAAGTAAGGAATCTTTGTATTCATGAGTGTGTATACTTGATTTTATTTATACTTTCATCTAATTAAAAAAGAATGTGCCTTCGGAAGTAACACACACACTTACTTAGTTCGCAAGCCGTTCCGTAGAAACCACTTGTGCAAGAGCATGAGAAGTATGTTTGATTATTACTGTTAACAGACTTAATGCATGTTCCTCCATTTTCGCATTTTGGCTCACAGTCACCTTGGAGCAGAAGCAAACCAAAAGATTTATTAGAAACCCAGTAAAAAACCTTGATAGGGTGTCCGTTCCAGCGGTCACCATACTGTGATCTTTAGACCCCCAAGGGCTTACCCTTGAGACTTTCAGAAGAATAGAGATATGCAAAGTGAAAACGGAAATTGCAGAGACAGAACGTATGAAAGTAAAGAAATAAGTGAAGACTGCACTAGGACACAAAAGGATGAGAGCGCATCTTAATCGATTACAAAAGAAAGTAGCTCATCGAGATTGATCAGCAAATATTCATACCTCTAAACTCTATCTTCAAAAAATCTTGTTCAGGATAGAAGGAAAAATATAATGGTTTATTTTCAATGACTTTTATCTTTTTAATTTAAGTATCTTCGTGCTTTTATTTATCTTAAAATTGCATATTGTTAAATTAGGCTAGAAATAAGAGTAACAAAAGAGGAGCCATTTCAAGTTCTCCTGTAAAATTAGTATTAAATGCCAAAGGAAGCTCGAGAGAGTACTGCTCATCAGAACAGTGAGCTTAAAAAAGCTTAAAACTAGTCTTGATAGAATTTCAAGAATTTTGGCAAACGCTTCATTTAATCCACATATTGCATTAACTAGAATAGGGGGAAAGGAGGGGAGGGGGGGGCACAGTGAAGTAATAAAGTCCAATAATGTATTTATCAAGGTAGTCATTGTATATAACTGTTTGATTGTCGTGGTGATAGTTGGGTTTTTTAAATTAATTTAAGTATTCATTTAATCATCATTTTCATTCCTTATAACTGTCACTTACTAATTTGGCAGTATGCTCCATTAAAACCTTGGGCACATTTGCATGTGTCCTTCTTAATACATGTTCCTCCATTNGGGGGGGGCACAGTGAAGTAATAAAGTCCAATAATGTATTTATCAAGGTAGTCATTGTATATAACTGTTTGATTGTCGTGGTGATAGTTGGGTTTTTTAAATTAATTTATTCATTTAATCATCATTTTCATTCCTTATAACTGTCACTTACTAATTTGGCAGTATGCTCCATTAAAACCTTGGGCACATTTGCATGTGTCCTTCTTAATACATGTTCCTCCATTTTGACACTTCTGCGCACAAATACCTTAAACAGAAAAATCATTGAATCAGAAAAATTCAAAGCACGGAGTGAACCTGATGAGTCTATTATTAAAAGAAAAAATATTAACCAGTAATAATCAGGAACTATTAAAATTTTTGAATGATTAATGAATCACTGGCCCATCATGGTTACATTTACACAAAGTCAAACCGATCAAAGAATTATCGGTAATTTTTCTCCTCCTGAATCTTTTGCTTTAATTTTTCATCACTTTCATTTTGGGCAGCTGTCACCCACAAAATCGGCAGTAGTCTATCCAAAAGGTTTTGGTGTCTTATTGATTGAAGAATGTTCTTATTGTTTTTTTGTTTTTTTTTTCTTCAATCAAATCATGGGAACCTAATTTTCTTGGAGGAAGGTACCTTTGGTGTCAGCCGCATAAAATTATAGGATAGTACTTGCACTGGGTGGAGAAAAACCCAGCGAATTCCATCGGTTAGGAGAGTATTACCAAAGAGCTTGATGCAAAAACGGCTTTTTTCGCCCCCCCTCTGGAATTTCTTCAGACTTTGTCTATTGATTACTCATACTTGAGCGCTTCTTTTCCCAAATTTTCAGACCCCCAAAAAATTTTTGGGGGGAGCTAGGGGGGGCGGAAGTCAAAACCTGTGAAACTCGATATCTCTCGAACGAAGAAACATATCGAGGTCCGGTTTGGACGAAAAATCGTCAAAAATTGCATACTTTAAGATTCTAAAGGTCAAAATCCCGATATCACATTTTTAAGTCAACATATCGTCCGTAGCGCTATTTTAGAGGCCCTGTACGGAGTTAGTTCTGTACGGAGCTGTAATTTTAAAAACGTGAATTTTTTGGAAGTATCTGTGATTTCTAAACTCAGCGACCCTCAAGAGTCCCTGATAATGCATTTTGCTCAGTTTGAACATTCAATCTGATTTAATAACAGTGAAATCCGACTTTTTTGCGCGCGAAAATCGGTCGGCGCGCGTTGAGCGGAAACTTCAACCGATCATAACTCCGGAACCGTTTGGTTCCCCAGCTTAATGGACCACTCGTTGGATGCGGAAAAAGACGAACAATTTAAAAAACTGGTTTTGATTCAAATAAAAAATTGAGATCTTTGTAAATTTTTCGTTTAAAAGAAATTTTCTAGACCTAAAAACTGGAAAAAAGCACATATCGACGGTGAAACTACCAAACCACGTATCTCGTTTGCGGTGTTTAAAAATCTACGCTCACATTTTATTTTTTTGAAGTAGACCAAATCAATATCATTCCTTGAAATTTTCACGGAATTTTCTCCGCACAAAGAGGAAAAATCACAGCAATTTTCAAGACTGGATGTTAAGTAGTTTTTCATTTAAAAAATAAAGTATGACAGGAAGTCTGCGACGTCGCAAACCGAGATACTTGGTTTGGTAGTTTCACCGTCGATATGTTGACTTAAAAATGTGATATCGGGATTTTGACCTTTAGAATCTTAAAGTATGCAATTTTAGACGATTTTTCGTCCAAACCGGACCTCGATATGTTTCTTCGTTCGAGAGATATCGAGTTTCACAGGTTTTGACTTCCGCCCCCCCTAGCTCCCCCCAAAAATTTTTTGGGGGTCTGAAAATTTGGGAAAAGAAGCGCTCAAGTATGAGTAATCAATAGACAAAGTCTGAAGAAATTCCAGAGGGGGGCGAAAAAAGCCGTTTTTGCATCAAGCTCTTTCATGTAGTATTTGATTCTTTTGAGGAAAATTTTATATTTTTCGTTATGAGTAATCTGACTCTATCATTTTTCAGCGATGATAAATCCAAGGATCCCATCCCAAGTACTCCCTAAAGTGGTTGGCAGACGTTTCCAGCATAGAGTGTCAAAAGAAGTCGACAGTATTATTAGAGTTGATCATGCCGGAGAATTCGGAGCAGATCGTATTTATGCTGGCCAAATAGCAGTTCTTGGTAAGGCAACAGTTTATTCATACGTTATTTATATTATGTTGTATATTTGCTCTTAATGTCTTTGGCTCAATGTCATCCAACATTTAAATCCATTAAAGCCTCCATGAACACTTAATCAGGCTGTAAAACTGCCTATCCGCAGACATGTGCCTGCTACTAATAGTGGTTGTTTTAGAGATCTGTCAAAGTCTTATCATGAGTTTAGGAAAACTAATTAAAGGTCTCGATCAACCATCATTCTCTGTCAAATCAATTTTATGATTCAAAACATGATCAAATGTAGATGCGCTAAAACCTACTTCCTCCTCCACTTCAAATGGTATTTGTGCCTCTTCGATTTTTCACTTCAACACCTTCCTAGAAAGCTTACTTATCGTTCTTGTCAACCCTATAATCCTCTTTCTGCCGTCCCTTCTTATGGCTTTATGTCTTCCAAGCTTCTTTTCATTCATCCGAGATTTAATTCTCTATATGAGGTGGTCATAACCACCATCAGATCGTTGAAAAACGTTTCAGCTCTTGAGCAAGGACATTTATGTCACTAACAGTTTGTTTTAAGAAATATTGAGAATTTGTTGTAGAAGTGCATTAATGGTGATGATGCTCCGGAAAATTATAGAAATTTGTATTGGAATTGTTCCAGGTAACTCTGTTGTTGGACCCAAAATTGCAGAAATGTGGGAGCAAGAGAAAGTACATAAAGCAAAGTTTGATGAATTAATTAATAAGTACAGAGTTCGCCCCACAGCTTTACTGCCTCTCTGGAATATTGCTGGCTTTGCTCTTGGAGCAGGTAAACATTTTCATCTATCTTTTCACTTTCAATAATCACTTGGGGGAAAATAACTCAAATAATTATTTCTAAACTGAAACAAATTTGATTGTGCTCATTATGTTAAGTAGGTACATAAATTATGTAAGTACCGGATTTCAAGGATTTAAAATCTTCCTTTTGCTTTAAATCTAAATCTCAGTAGTGGCTGAATTTGAGTAGCTTCAACTATTAAGAAACCTTTACCAGTGCTGTATGTTTGCAGTTATTACTTGATGACAATTGAGAAGCATTTTATTCATTAATTCGTCATTCATTCATTATGATCTTCATTAAACGCAGCTACATATGAAACGTCATCCACTCTGAGCAAATTTCCAAAACACCTGAATGCTGAGTGCTATATGAGAACCCTGGAATATTTTTATATTAAGCGTACCTCTTGCTTTGCGGTCTAGTTTTATTTTAACCTTTCATTCTCACCTCTTCCATATTAACTAAATTGATAAACGAAAAAGAAAGAAGGTAAAAAGTTGTAATACTTGTTAATTTTAAACTGTATCAATTAAACACTATGGCATAACGGCATACATAAAAGTAAAAAGAAATGCAAAATAGTAACACTTTTTTTTACGAGGAATTCAGGTGTTGTGAGCAGATTCAGACTTTTGAGATGCCGTGCACTTGTGCAGCCATAATTAATTTATAGTCACATGTTGTCTTTATGAAAATGTGAACTAATTTAGCTCTTAGTGAGTGACAGTCCTTTTTGACCAAAAATAATGAACCACTAGACAAGGTACTAATTTAAGCATCCTGATAAATGCTTTCTCTTCAAAATTTTGTGTACGGTTACAATCTGTACAATGAAAATTACCGAAAGTAACTCCTCACTAAGATATTAAAATTTTTGATGCATAAATTTAAACTTCCCACTCATAGAAAAACCAATAATCTACTAAAGTTAAATCACATACCTAACGTCACTGGGACAGTTTTTGCATTATGAATATATGATAACCTCAATTTCAGCGCTTCGCCTGCTATTGCACGCTATTCACATTTTGAATGACAAGAATAGGGTAAAAAATTGCTCATTGAGAAGCCTGCCAAAATGTTGCGGTGCGCAATTTGATTCAAGTAGACTCTTGTTTTTTTTGTAAGAGGGAAATTCAAATTTTTTGTAACCAATGCAAAATAAAAACGTTACTATCTTAGTTCAAAAAGAATTTTAGTAATTTTCGTTGCGCAAATGGTGCTGTATGTGAAATTTTGAAGGAAAAACATGCATCAGAATGCTTTAATTCATACCTTGTTCAATGATCCACTGTTGTGCAGTATATTCCAACCATCAGACTCGAATTTATGGGAATCGTTTTCCTGTTAAGCACTTAAGCTTGAAAAGTAATTTTTTTTCCTCCTTTTTCACAGGCTCTGCTTTATTGGGTCCAAAGGCAGCAATGGCATGCACTGTGGCAGTGGAGTCAGTAATTGTAGAACATTATAATGATCAGTTAAGGACTCTCATGTCGGATCCTGAGAAAAACAAAGAACTACTGGAGGTGATAAAGAAATTTCGCGATGATGAACAAGAACATCATGACACTGGACTAGAGCACGGAGCTGAAGAAGCTCCATTCTATAGACTCTTTAGTGATGTCATCAAACTAGGATGCAAAACAGCTATATCAATTTCAAAAGTTATTTAACCGTGTGGCTCTCATAAGTGGGTATCTGTCTAAGCTCAACATAGACTAGTACCCAACGCTTCATTTCTGGGTCTGAAATTTGTCTTGGATTTGAAATTTAGCAACTTGCTGGTGATTCTCAGTCAGCTATTCCCAAACTGACTCTCATGAGTCCATGGAATAAAAATAAGTGAGAAAAAGAAGGACCAACATAAAAAAGAAAGGAAGAAAGGAAGGATTGTAAAAAAAGGAGAGCGTAAGCCGAAAAACAACATAACCTTGACTAATTGTCATTACCTTCCTTTCCTTGTAGCAATATAGTGAAAAATCAGTCATTTATCTCGATGAATTTATCCATTTACTTTCGTTTTTTTCCCTCTTAAAATTTTTGTTTGCTAAGTTGATTTTGAAGGACAATGGTGTGGAAGAGAGTTCCACTCAAGTTTCCATCAAAAACATCCTTGAATACTACAGGGGCTCTCTGAGATCCTGTGAATTGTCTACGGAATCCAAGATTAAAAAATGAAAAAACTAGTAGTCCAAGTAATGACTGTCCATTATTATAAAAAAAATCTAGGGAAAGCTGTCATTTTTAGGAGCCTAAAAGATTTTGATCAACCAGTTTTGCCTTCTTATCACACCTTATTTAATGTAGCTCTGCTTCTTTTTATTTGTTAATAGTCCTTGCAACAGTCAGTATCCTTTCTTGTTTGTTCTATTAGTTGTTTTAAGCATTTCTTGTTTTTAATTGATTGAATTTTTTGGAAATGCAATAAATTTATAATGTTTTTTACTGTTTCAATCAAATATTTTCTTCTTCTCTTTCAATAATTTTTAAAATATAATAAAAGATAAACACTGACCTTAATGCAAGCAATAGAAAAAATTTGATGAAAGCGTAATAGATGAAAATTATGGAGGAGAGAAAAAGACTTTAATTAAAGCCCAAACACTTGTAAGTAACAGGATGGTAGATTAAGGCTGGTTTCACACTGTTCTAAGTGGAAATCAAAACTAGAAAAAACCAAAAATTGGAACTAGAGTTTCAAAATGAACTCAAATGAGTTCCAATTCACGACTGGTGAGGGAAAGGGGGGGGGGGGTACCTCAAGTGGGTGCATTGGCGCAGCTCCATTATCAATCCATCTCCATTATTAATTTTTTCGGAGGCTTTCCTCATTTTGCTGTGGGAGTTGTTCAATGTCTGGCAATGTCCCAGTTCATTTTGTCACCAAAATTCTAATATTTGGTTTTTTTGTTTGGATTTGATTTCCATGTGGAATAGTGTAGACCTAGCAGTACTTTACCATCCTGACTTAAGTACTCTGTACACAAGTACTATGTATGCAAGTATTTACTACTCTAAAGGTCTGTTGAAATTTGAATTAAATTTAGATGGAACCTAACTTTTTAAAAGTCTATTTAACAGTTACATTCTCAAAAAAAAAAAAAATTTCCATCAAGTTTGTAAGTGTTTAGAAGTTTCCATCTTATATCACGAGGCAATGCCCCTCACTGAATACCTAATGTTCTTAACCAAAAAGTTGTCACTAAGTGCTTTAAACCCTTTCTGGACAATTTCCTACATCTGTAAAAATTTTGGTTTCTTCAAATACTAATATAAAGTATTTAGTTTAAATCAGATTTATGTATGTACCAACTATTACCGCATTAGGATTTAATTTTACCCTCGACAAGAGGGAGAAAAAGTGGAAATCAAGTAAATCAATATGTCACTCACCTCCATCACATCTCTCTCCGACAAACCCTGCGTTGCATGAGCAATTTCCTGGAGCGGTGCAAACGCCATTCTCGCAAGGTGGAAAGCAAATTGGTGTTTCGCAGTAACGCCCAACGTATCCAGGGCTACAGACACATACTTCACTTGCATCACACCGTCCATTGTTTTGGCATTTCTTTGCGCACTCAGTGTCAGGTCCTGTTACAAGCCCAATTCACTTGATGAGAATGCATTTCACGAAATTCGATCGAAGTCAGTGGTATACAGCAGGACATCATTTGAGTTGGTAACTGAGTCACATCTCATTCTCAATGCTTTACTTTTACAAGTAAATTTTAACAAAATATTATTTTTTCTACCGTTTTTTTTTTTTTTTTTTTTTTTGGGTCATTCTTTTTCCTTTTTCTGTTTTTAATAATTTGAAATTACATTTAATTAAGCTCGATACACGTTGATGTGATACACAATGTTCCCAAAAAGCTACTTTTCATTTGGAGTGCCAAAGGACATTTTTTTAACCAATAATGAACAAAGCTCATTTTATCTCACACACCGCCTCCCTGAGCGGCCACTTGATTTTTCATATGGCATAATATGGCTGTATATTATCTTCATGTAGGTACTTATTAGACCTTGAAATAACGTCCCGTAAAATGCGTGCATATTGTATGTAGGTACCTGCTCATTCCGAATTCAGTCTAACCCTACGTATACCCAACGTGAAAGCACACGTGGTGCAGAAGCGCCTTCATTTTGCATAGCACGCAAGATATCATACACGTCGGACTCCCATTGTGTTGGTGCCTTGTTGGTGCTACTGCATGATAAACCCACCAATCATTACCATGCTGACGTTGTTTCTTTTAAGTGTGTATCGATACATTACAGTGCCTCTTTTTTGCAGAATGCCAAACTGAGGCATCGTAGCATAACGCTTTCATAGATTTTGAGTAGCATTATTTTCATGAAAAAACTGATAGATAATTTAAAAAAGTCGTCTTACTTGTATCTCGGCATTCTTTTTTGAGATCTATTGCAAGAGGCATTCCAAGTATGGCTTTTCCATCGCTGTCAGTGACAGTAAAACCTATCCTCAAAGTCGCAATTTCTGAGGTATTTCCTACGCAAGATATATGCAAACTAAAGTCTGAAATGAGAAGAAGAAGGCAAATTAGTGTGGATGTGATTAAATGCGCAATCTGGCGAGTCATGCGCTCATGATTTTATAGAGTAGGTGCACTTAAAAAAGGAGACTACACAAATTATAATTTGTAAATATGGATCCGAAATTTTGAAAATGGTCTGTACTTACAATATTGTTGAGCCTATAACATAAACTCAAATCGTATATAGTCTGTTTCACGTAAGCTGAGACTTTTTATTAGGCATTAAAATCCGTAAATGGCAACGCATCAGTCCCGAACGCGGTGACCTGACCGCTCGCCGGCCACCCTCTTTTGTTCAGCGACGAGAGGCCGGCAGCAACCCGTCCATTGTGAGGGTAGGAACAATGGGCACCCTTCATCCCTCCTTAATGAGCCCTAGTACCCGGACCAACATTTTTTTCTCGCTGAAAAATTCATCTTTTGGCGTGAAAAATTAATTCCAGCGTGAAATTATGATAAAAACGCACTAAAATTCAGTCCAATTATCTTAATTTTGAGCTGATATACGGCATTTGCGTGTGACCGCGATTCACCGCGGAATGCCGTACATCAGCTCAAAATTAAGATAATTGGACTGAATTTTAGTGCGTTTTTATCATAATTTCACGCTGGAATTAATTTTTCACGCCAAAAGATGAATTTTTCAGCGAGGAAAAAATGTTGGTCCGGGTACTAGGGCTCATTAAGGAGGGATGAAGGGTGCCCATTGTTCCTACCCTCACAATGGACGGGTTGCCGGCCTCTCGTCGCTGAACAAAAGAGGGTGGCCGGCGATAGCGGTCAGGTCACCGCGTTCGGGACTGATGCGTTGCCATTTACGGATTTTAATGCCGAATAAAAAGTCTCAGCTTACGTGAAACAAACTATAGTTGTTTGTTCCAACTCATTTTTGTAAATCAGGAACAAAGGGGTGTATGCAAAATCGACAAAAATTCCCCCCTCATGGATGTTGACCAATTTTCAGTATGTAATTCCTCACTATGGGATACGCCTTTTCCCAAAATTTCAAGGCCTGAAATGAATTTCTTTCCGCGTAGCAGCGTTGCCAAGTTGAAAACTGTCGAGTTCCATATCTTTATTTGAACGAAAATAGATATTGAGGTGCGGTTTGCGCTAAAATTCTTCAAAAACTGCGTTCTTTTGAATTATGTACTCACTTTGATCGTTTAGGTAATTTAAGATTGCAATGATGCCATTTTTTACACTTTCTTAAGAGTCAATTTTTTTTCAACCCTAGTACATCGTCAAATGCCGGATTCTCGATTCGAAAAAAATACTATTCATTGTATTATTCGTACTTTTCCATTTCTTTTGATATATTATAGCTCCCAGGGAAACGATTGGTAACGGAGATATGATCAATCTAAGTTTACGCTCCGCGCGCGCCGACTGGAATCCGGGCGCCGCTCGCCGCTCTGAGTCGTCTGCACACTCCCTTCCTTCAGCTTCACGTGGTCATTCCTACGTATTTTTTTGCGTACTTTCCATTTCTGGCCTTTGAAAAAGGCTCCGATGAATTTTTAGGGGCCTCGCGGTCCATTGTTCCCATTTTTTGCTCGTATTTAGGGTTTTTTCCCTACTTTACTCACAATTCTACTGTAAGACTTAATTTAAACGGAAAACTGTGTGCGTTGAAGGAAAGAACGTAAAGAAAAAATAAAAATGAATGTATAAATTTTTCCTTCGTTGCCGAATTTTCGAGAAAAATCGTACCAAAGAGCCAAATATTTGAAAAATTGAATAAATCCCCACGCCATGGTTTATGAAAGTGGGGCACAGCTTTCATATTGACGTACCTACGTAACAGATCTTACCTATCTATACAACATATTAAAAAAGCATAGTTGTATTTGGATTCCCACGATCTGAAAATTGTCCGGGATGTCACATTTTGCGGCCTTTTCTTATGTGTAAGGTAGATCTTTTGAATGTTTTTCGACCTTTAGTCATCCTCCATAGGGGTTTATCGTTAGTATTTTTGCTGCAATTTTCATTTTTCTAATATTGCTGCGTCTCTGATAGAGCTTACGAATAAGAAATATGAGAAATATAACTTTCTTCAGACGAAGCCGATGAAGCTTTTAAAAACTTTGAAACAGTTATTCTTTTACCTTCCTGTTTTAATTCTGATAATTTAGATATCTATCTTTTGGTAGATATGTCAACTTTGTTACAGGAGACTTTTTGAATCATACATATTATGATGGGGAATTTCACCCTTACCTAAACATTGTTTTTAAAAGTAAATTCCCCCCCCCCCTCTTGGTCTGCAACATGTCTAGAATTACGAGGAGTTTAGAGTCTTTCGAACATTTTGACAATTTCTTGACCCATTAAGAAATTCAATCATCATAAATTCATTCTCTTGTCTGATCATTACAGTTTGGGATATTTTAGAGATTTCAAAAATGAGAACAGTCGTTTAAATAAATTGACGGAAAGATTGGTTATATATGATTTGATTATCAAATGTAAGACTTATGAAATTCTTAGATGAAAATCTTCCGAAACTTCGCTGTTTTCAAATTAAAATTGATTAGTAATTCTGATAAGGAGATTTTTCAACTGTCAAATGCTCTAAATAACATTAACTTAATGATTTTAGGCTTACAGCAAAGGAAAGAGGAGTTACATATTTTTCTAACGAATGATAACGCTATGGTCTCGCAGGCAATAATGTGCTTTATAGCTTATCATAATCAGAAACGGTTGTTGCTACCCTATTTTCCAACCACTTTACGAAATATTCCATACTTGTTGAAATAATCTCCGAATGTTCGAAGGACTCTACCGAAAATTTTACTAAAAGCGCAGAACAATCAAAAACAGAATTTTGATAAGAAGAGGCAACAAATTATTTTTCAACCTAGCGATAAAGTTCTACTTTTGAATGATAATGTCCCAAAAGATAAGAATAAAAAGTTAAGCCGAAAATATGTTGGCCCTTATAACGTTGTGAAAAGGATGAGTGATCTGAATTATGTCATCAACATGGAGAAGTTCAATAAAGCAACGGAGGAAGTCGTTCATGTATCCAAATTAAAAAAGTTCTACGAGCCCTTTACGACTTATTCTCTTGAAAAAGACTGAAACTTTTGAGTCATACTTTTTTTCTTAATTCTTCGTTCTACGTGGACTTATTCTCGAGTAAGGATTGTGATAACAAAATACGAAGAAGGGGAGTATTTACGATTTCCGCTATTCAATTTCCGCTTTCAAAGAGTTGCTCTCGTATTTTTAGTTATTGTCACTTCTCTAGCCAACGGGTTCAGTTCTAGTGATTTTTGCCTTAATTTTTTTTTTCTCAATTGTTCTTTTTAAAAAATGGGAGTTGCAAGCAACGACGTTAACTCTCCAGTAAACGATTCTAATAATAAATGGTACATTTTTACCTTTACGCAAGATTTGATTCAGAATCTTATTTTATTTTTGGTTGTTCTTGCTGCGATAGTATTTTTCTTAGTGAAATGGTGCACAAAATTAAAGGCACATAATCAAGCTGTAAAAACGGAGCTAAAAACTCTACGACGTGCTCGGGTTATGGCTGACATTAATAGTCCAGTCTAAAGAACTGTAAGTCTCCATTTTTTAAAATTTCCTTATAATTTTTTAATGAACTTTTGATTTTTTTTATAACAATTTTGGCTTCACGTGGACTTGTTTTTGTTCTTTTGTTCATTATTTCTTTCAACAAGGGTCGTGAGAACACGACGCTAAAATTTGAACCTAATCAAAATTATTCTCTCTCATTTTCTTTTAGCAAATAATTCGCCTTCCCTTTTTTGAATCGGCAACTTTTGTTGCGTTCCACCGTTTTGTGATGACTCTTAAGGGAATTGTTAAGTCAGTAGGTAACTCTGCTTCTGGGCTGGTCGTTCACCCAAAAAAGAGGAACCCGTACAATTCTTTGGCTTTGGAAGGTACCTTCACGGAATAATGACAGTGGTGTTGCGTTGATTTCTTTTCCTGAGTCACATCTATCGTTTGGTTCCCCTCGCTTTTTAGGCGTTGTAAAGTTTTGTAACTTTTACTGGAGCAATTAAGATGAGCATCTTTGTCAGAGAACACCGCAAAGTATTGTTACAGTGAATTGCAGCAACTTTAAGGTGATCGAGTTATTTGTTCAAACTAAGTGAATCTGTTCACTATTTTTGTGAAGTGAGATAGTAAAGGCATCCCCTGAAAAACAGAGGCAAATGCATATCAACATGGCATCCGATTTCAAGGGATAGCGCGAACGACTGCATTTGTGATCTTCCACGTAAAAATAATGTCAATGGTGAAACTTTAAAGCCTTAGTAATTCGCAATTTAAAAACAAGCGGGAAAGTTCTAATACTGTCGTATTAGAAAAGCGCTCAGGTGTTAGTCAATGTATTTAGTGAAGAAAGGAAGTATAAACTCCGTCGACTTGGCTGGGTAATGGAAATAAAACATCAGCTGATAGCAAACAAAGGTTACTAAAGAAACCGTAAACGCGTTTTTTCGTTTCCCGAAAATGATAGTCACCGTTGAGCTCATCAGGCGCGTTTTTTTTAGGCTTCATTTGAGTTCAACGATCAATTTCGATAAGAATTACTCTACCGCTTAGAAATGTACTTATAGACAAACGATCGAAACTACCTGCGCATTACGTTAAAAGCGTAAAATACAGTTTTCACAGCTTTCTTTATTTTAAAACTGGACCCCCCCCCCCAAAAGCCTACACATCGATGAGCTGGTGAGTGGTGCGCCATTTAAACGAATTAGCCCTAGTATACTAGTACTCTAGAGGCAAGTCGAAATCAAAAAGCGCTGCCTATTGGCTGAGCGCTTAATATAAATATCTATGACCTCGTCTTTTACACGCATGGTATCAGATTTATTTTTAAATTTTTGACATGCCCTACAAACCCAGAGACCAATTTACTTTTTTTTCTTCTCTAAATAAATATTTCATCTAAATAATTGCTCATATTTCTCGAAAAATTTTTCTCTTTATGTAAATTGGTTTTTAGCTTGGCACCTTGTAATTGGCTTAACTTAAAGTAATGATGTAAGACTTGTGACTACCTACCTCTTTTGTTTACAATTAATGATGTTTATCCTATGTAATAAAACATCACCATGTCTTTGCTTTTTTTCCAGATCGGAGCATTTCCATGCTGCTGATAGGTCAGTCGTGGATCAATGACTCTGGCAGTAATTCCAGAGGCTACATGGACGCTAGGGTCAATCCAGGGCGTTGTACCCGCGGCTGGCCTACCCGGAGCATTTTCCGGAGGGCTCAGAATGGTAAAATGAGTAAAATATGACAAAAACCACAGAAATTTTGGTACGGATTTTCCCTCTTAAAGTCCATAGGTATTGACGATGTCAGCCATGCCAGGCTCGAGTTTTGAACGAGGGAACAATTTATTTTTCTCTTGTTCCTTGCTCAAGGTGGCAGCCAATTTTTCTTCCCCCTTTTCCCTAGCCTTCCATGAGTTGGTATAATCCTTCAATGGGGCGTTGAAGAGAGAAAAATTCATTTTTCTCTCTTGGATGCCCCGTTCACGGAGTGCGAAAGGAAGAAATGAAAATCGAAGCGACCTTGTCAATGAAGAATGATATTTTCCTTTTTTTTTTGTCAAAAGTAACAGTTCAAATTTTTTTTTTTTTTTTTGTAACTCCTGTTTCTCTTTTTTTTCCAAGCGTCTAATATGAAATTTTCGATTTGTCATTTTCTTTTTTTGTTCCAGTTCCAGTTTATAATTTCGGCAAATGACAACAATGAATCGTTAGGCCCTTTCAAATTCATCACAAGCAATTTATACTGCCAAAAATGAAAATTGCAGCAAAAATACTAACGATAAACCCCCATGGAGGATGACTAAAGGTCGAAAAACATTCAAAAGATCTACCTTACACATAAGAAAAGGCCGCAAAATGTGACATCCCGGACAATTTTCAGATCGTGGGAATCCAAATACAACTATGCTTTTTTAATATGTTGTATAGATAGGTAAGATCTGTTACGTAGGTACGTCAATATGAAAGCTGTGCCCCACTTTCATAAACCATGGCGTGGGGATTTATTCAATTTTTCAAATATTTGGCTCTTTGGTACGATTTTTCTCGAAAATTCGGCAACGAAGGAAAAATTTATACATTCATTTTTATTTTTTCTTTACGTTCTTTCCTTCAACGCACACAGTTTTCCGTTTAAATTAAGTCTTACAGTAGAATTGTGAGTAAAGTAGGGAAAAAACCCTAAATACGAGCAAAAAATGGGAACAATGGACCGCGAGGCCCCTAAAAATTCATCGGAGCCCTTTTCAAAGGCCAGAAATGGAAAGTACGCAAAAAAATACGTAGGAATGACCACGTGAAGCTGAAGGAAGGGAGTGTGCAGACGACTCAGAGCGGCGAGCGGCGCCCGGATTCCAGTCGGCGCGCGCGGAGCGTAAACTTAGATAGATCATATCTCCGTTACCAATCGTTTCCCTGGGAGCTATAATATATCAAAAGAAATGGAAAAGTACGAATAATACAATGAATAGTATTTTTTTCGAATCGAGAATCCGGCATTTGACGATGTACTAGGGTTGAAAAAAAATTGACTCTTAAGAAAGTGTAAAAAATGGCATCATTGCAATCTTAAATTACCTAAACGATCAAAGTGAGTACATAATTCAAAAGAACGCAGTTTTTGAAGAATTTTAGCGCAAACCGCACCTCAATATCTATTTTCGTTCAAATAAAGATATGGAACTCGACAGTTTTCAACTTGGCAACGCTGCTACGCAGAAAGAAATTCATTTCAGGCCTTGAAATTTTGGGAAAAGGCGTATCCCATAGTGAGGAATTACGTACTGAAAATTGGTCAACATCCATGAGGGGGGAATTTTTGTCGATTTTGCATACACCCCTTTAACATCGTCCGAGTTTCTGAATTGTTTGCGAAATATTCCCTTTATTTATCATAAAAACCGGGCAAAGAGTCAAAAATAATGACGCGTACTTAATCCCATAGGCGTAGCTAGGGGGGGTCTTGGGGGGGGGCTGCCCCCCAGAAATCTCGTTACCCCCCCTAGAAAATCGGGATCCTCCATTCCTCACCCACCCCCCGCTCTCTTCACCACGAGAGGTGGTCCCATGCCCCCCCCCCCAGAAAAATTTCCTAGCTACGCCCCTGCAGTTAATCCTAAAGTTATACGGCGACTTTGATCACCTTCGCGCGAGCCAGGAAAGAGAACGAGATGGAGTCATCTTACGCGCGTTCCATCCGGCTTGCGGCAATATTACACCCGTTGTCGAATTGTTATCTTGGTACGCCTGCCGTGAATGAAATGAAATATCCAGTGCTCCCATTTCATGTCCGTCAAAAGTTCCGGGATTCGGAAATTTTTTGTTCCAATTTCTCCCACTCCATGACCGTCAAAAGTTCCGGAATTCTGAGTAGATTTCTCCAAAAGTTCCGAGAAAATTCCGGAAAATACAAAAGATCCGGATTATTTCGGGAATTTCCAAAGTTCCTAGAAAATTCAGGAAAGTCTCAAAAGTCCCGAAATTCGGTGCCATAGTACTGGGAAATGGGAACACCAGAGATATCGACGCCTGCGCACATGCGGATTATTTTCCCAAATCGCGCTTCTGTCGCATACTCGGCGCGCCGCGCCGCCCGGTGGTTCGAGTCAATGGGAGAAGTCGGAAAAAATGTGGAAATTTTAAAAGCTCATATAACTCCATTTATACAAAATTTTGAGGTTTTAAAATGTGAGCTCATTGGTTTTCTTGTCTAATCTCCTTCTGAAAACACCCCTTAAAATTTAAAATGTGACGAAATAAACATCAACATTTCCAGTTTTAATCAAAAATTTCATGTCCGACCTCTCTAATTGACTCGATCCACTGTGCGCCGCGCGGAGGGGTAGCGAGAAACATGCCCACGCCTTGCCGAACGCCCACGCTTATCGCACGGATTCTCCATAGCTGAAAACATCAAAATTGCGAGACAACGACGCACAGTATAGAACGAGCCAATGGGCGAAGTCAGAAATGAGATTTACAACTAAAACTGGCAAATTTTGATGTTTGATTCGTCTGAAGAATCGGTAGATGATTTGCAATGAGGGATTTTTAATGATGAGAAAGTTAACAGAAAGCAGGAAAATCTCCGATCCTTCGAGTATTACAGACTCGTGTTGTACAATGGTTTAATATTGTGTCCACGGCACCGCGGGTGGTGGGGTGGGTCTAACATCGAGAAATTACAACGATTAAAGAGCGCACCGTGCTGTGCGCGCACTGCGCGAAGTATTCTTTCAGTCTTGTAGGCGTTAGTATGTCCCACGCCAATTGACCGACTGCACTGCGTTTAGCGCAATGCGAGAGGTATCCATGCAGTCTTGTAGGCGCTAATGCGTCTCGCGCCGACCGCACCGTTTGGCGTAGTGCGTGAAGTATTCTCCCAGTCTTGCAGGCGCTAATATAAGCGTTTAACGTCGGCCGCTCTGTGTTTGGCGCGATCATTTAAAGTCGCGTTAGCATAATCGTGGCATCGAATAATGGGGCTTAAAAGGCCCATGCTGTATTTTGACGCCTATGAGTATTCCAGCGTTGCCTAGTTTCTCCCGATGAAATATTTTGCGAGAAGTTAGGAACGTACACTGTGTTCGCTTTTTTAGATTGAATGGACCATTAAACAAAGTACGATTTTAAGCTTTCTGTCACATGATTCTTGACCAGAATACGCGAGTCAAATCGCACACTACGTCTTTAGCGATCTAGCGTCAAGATTGAGGTTGCCATATTTTCATATCGCTGAGACTGTCATAGTGACGTTCAGCGTGCAATTTAACCCGAGTAAATTATTCTTTCTTCATGAGCGGAAAATTTGAATATTTTCTCATAAAAAGCGTTACTGCCAAAAAAAAGTAGAAAATTGCATGCCTGACCTCTCCAACAGACTCGCTCCACCATGTATCCGTAGTGGCTTTCTCTGTTCATAACAAACTTGTTGGCTGTATCCACTGAAAGAGCATTACTTGGTTTGTATCCCTCCGATATGATTATGCATATGGTTTATGTTCTGATGGACCAATTTTTGCAATTAGGAAATACGATTTCTGGCTCATTAAGAAACAACGTATGTGTCATTAGCTTCCCTTCACACACAAGTGTTTTTACTGCTGAGCCACAAATTATAGTATCCAAATTTATGCTTAATGTCGCCGTCCAATTATATGGACTAGATAATGATCAGTGGGCTGAGATGGAATAAAAAAAAAAGCTGGATTAAACTGAATAAATGAATGAATAAAAGAACCCACAAAAGTAGTAAATGAAGCAAATATAATGTAATAATACATACTTTTTTGAAACGGTGGTATCTCTCCTTGGCGGTCTATTGATATCCACGGATCATGTAAAATACTTGTGTTAAATGACCGGAGGGTGTGAAAATTATAATAATACCTAGCTGATGTGCCCGCACACCACGACACAGTGACGATGTCAATCTGGAAATTGAAAAATTCACAAATTAAGCGTGTATGAAGCGGTGTTTAAATGTAGGTACTTCGACGAATCAAGTGGACGTAAATACACGCGTACGTGGACGTAAAGTGATGGTGCAGATATTATTGCAAGGGTGATTTTTCAAAGGGGGAAAATGATGGAAAATATTTAAAAAAGAAGGACTGGTTTATTATTAACAGGTTATGATATAGCTACTCACTTGAGCTGGAATGATGAAAGTGGCGAAAGAAGGGTTGGTCACTTGTTTCGGCACGACTGAATTGTAGATGATGGAAATCGGATCAAGCACACCTAACATGATGACTGAAAATAAAAAAGTAATATCGTGAGACCATTTGTCGTGCGTGCGGATTAATTATGAAAAGGGACGGCCTATACCCAAGTAGCATTTTCCAACGGAAAAATCGCGATGTATTGCGATTTTATCGGCGATGAAATCGCTATAGGATCATCAACATCTGAGCGATTATCCTCGATCTTGTTGGAATATAAAAGCGATTTTATTGCCCGGCAATTTATCGCGATATTATCGAAACAAAAATCGCGATATATGGCGATTTAATCTCGATTTTATCGACGAAAATCGATGGTGTTCGCCGAACAAAAAATTGCGATGCATAGCGATTTAATCGCCATAAATCGCAATTTTTCATTCGATAATATTGCGATAATTGCCACCGATAAAATCGCGATAATCAACCGATAAGATCGCTATTTATCGCGATCACAGCTACTTGGGTACCGCATAATTGCCAGAGGCAAAGGAAAGTTTATTTTCCTTTATTTATTGTATTTCTTTTTAAACAGAGGTAGACTCCTCAAGACAGAAGCCACAGTGGGTGCCACACTGAAGGAGGGGGTTTTGAATTGAACGTTTTTGAGTAGGTACTCTAGATGGACTCGCCAAAAAGATCCGCTAGACCTCCGCAAGTTCCCGCTTGAACCTAAAATTTATGGATCAGGATTGGAAGGTTTAAAAAAGCTCACCATCGTCGTCTATCCACATTTCAAGTTTATCCATGTCGCATTTCGGGTATGGCTCTTTATCCTTTTTCTTCACGGAGAGTTGGCCGGTGGCGCCCCCTGCCAGCACGACAACCGTGACAATCGCGACCAGCAGCATCTTCCCCGGGATCCTGGACCAGCGCTGTCCACCCTCTACATCAGCTGCTTAATCACATCTGAAATCATTCCATAACCCTCCGTCAGTTCACCGACACGTTCATTGTTTTTGAATAAAAAATTATGTACTTGATTTTTTCTATTTTCTTTTTATTTTTGGACGCACTAGGTGGTTTTAACAGTTTGCAAAGAAACACTCAGATCCATAGAGACATTTTGCCTAACAACAAAGTGCACGAGAAAAATTCGGAAGACATTTGGAAGAGCTAAGTGAAACTAGAAAAATTATTGAATGACACGTTTTCTGTGTTGTTTTGCTGATTTTTTTTATTTTTCATTTTTTGTCTGTATATGTGTCGCACTAGGTGGTATTAAAATTCCCTGGTAAAAATTGGCGGTAGGAGCTGCGTTTCAAAATACCATAGGAGCTCTTATAGCAGACTGAAGAATGCGATAGAAAATCATATAGCTGGCTGTAGAAAGTGGAAAAAATTATACGGCCGGGCTACACGAAGCGATAAAAAATTATACAGCTGGGATATAGTTCCTATCGCCGGGCTTTACACTTTATCACCTGGCTGTTGCTTTTTCGCCATTGGCTATACCTAAAAGGCTATAAGAAATTGTGTAGAAATTCGTGTGCTTTGTAAATCCTTAAGTTTGCACGGAATCACCTTAATATTTACAAAACGCACATTATATTTTCCTTTACTACACATTTTTTGTTCATCAATTAAAATGAGAATAATCCATACACAGTGTGAAACATTTCAAAGTCATGAGTTGAAAAACGCTGACTTCACGAGATTAAATATTAGAGCCTAACACAAAGCGGAGCGGCGGCGCACTGGCGCCTTCAAACCTAACGGGGATACTTCACGCATTGCGCAATGCGTGAAGTATCCCTGTTAGGTTTGAAGGCGCCAATGCGCGTTTCGCGCTAGCTGCCCGCCCGCCGCGCCGCGCCGGAGCGTATCACGGCGCTTGAAGCAACTTTTTCACACCAGAGGTATTGCACAGTATCATACAAAATTGCAGGCGCTCCAACATGTTAGGAATGGCAGGCATTCTTCAAAAGTACGGAGCTTTCCTCGCAAAATAAATCAAGATACTACGGCCCAAAAAGAGAGCGGTATAGTCCAAAAACTCACTAAGTCCTAGCATCGGTAATTAGTAACGTTTAACATACACTTTATCGCCAGGCTGTTGCTTAGTCGCCATCGGCTGTAAAAGGCTATAAGAAATTGTGTTGCCGGCTATAGAAGCTATTGGAAATCTTACAGCCGGCTGTAGGTCTATGGTATTTTGGAACACAGATTCTACTGCCAATTTTTACCATGGTTCGCAAGGAAACACCCAGATCGGTAGAAACATTTGGAGTTCTTTTTTTTAAGGGGAGAGAGGTCAGTTCGTGCTTGGTGTATCTAACATTTTCTACAATTTTTCATAATAATGAGTTCAAAAGCATTAGTAATGAAAGTCTCATTCAGAGAACTTCCTTGAAATTTGGACTCGGGGCGCCTTCATTTTATTTTATGTACTTCATGCTTCGTCGCGCAGTTAGCAATGTTGCCTAGCTGACGGCGAACCTAACTCTCTGCCTATGAATCAAGTTTTAATTATTAATTTCGGACGCGTTTTTGGAGCGCTTTATTTTCATGTAATCGGTATACTTTATCTTACCGTATGAAAAGTTTCTGCACAAGTGGCTCTACAACACTTTCGACGATAAAAAGCTGTGAGACTGCTTTAAACGAAAAGAAAAAGAGAGCGCAGCGAAAATAATGGAAGTTGCCATGATTAAGAGAAGATTCTAAAAATAGTTTAATGACTTTCTTTTTAAACCAATTTGTACCACGGTTGCCAAATTTTAACAGGAAACACAGATGGGAATGGGTCACTGCGATATTTTCAGTTTATTTCGCCAACTCTGATGTTGAGATTAATGCTGGGAAAAAAATTGAAAATAGCGACATGATGTATTTCCTATACGTTTAGTCACCAGCACTTTTCGCTGCAATCGAAATCTGTTTTCTCTTGCCAACTCACAGCCAGGGAAAGAGAAAAAACCGGCTGATTTTTGGAGCGGTAATGGCAATGGTGGTTTTCGTCAACATTCGGCTTCGGTGACTCCTTGATAAACTCATCCCACAGAAAGGAGCTAATTTCAAGGATATGAGTTAAAACACCGAGGTACAAAAGGGAAAAAGTCCAGTGGCGTGGCGTGAATAATCGATTATCGATATCTCGCTATTTGAAGCTATGGTAAAGAATCGATTACTAGGGTGTTCGCTGCGGACACCCTGATAATCGATCTTTTTTCACAGGTTTAAATGGCACAACAATCGATATATCGCAATTCACGCCACGTCACTGGGAAAAACGGGAGCGCAGGGGCAGGGTTCGTCGAAATAGAAGGTGGCATATTATCATGTGGCGAGGAGGGGACGGAAGACGAGAAGGAGGCAATAACCACTTGAAACAGGTCTTTCAACAAGTGATTTAAACTCAGTTCGAACCGTAAAACAAATATTGATGCGTCAGGTCAAAAAGAAAAAAATTGGAATAGAGCCGTATTTTGTCGGGACCCTTGTTTGCGGCTCCCCCACGGTTCTGCGCCTCACCTCCACCACCGACACCGCATCGGTTCATCGCTCACCTCGGCATCTTTTAGAGCTTCAATAAATACACAATGAAGACACCTGAGCCGAGGAGACGCGCTCTCAGCTCCTGAAAGATCGATTGTTGAATCGATATCGATGACCTTGATCGATATAAAGCGCTGCTAAGATAGGGATTCCTCGATCGAGATCGTTCGATAAGGATTCGACCCGCTGGAGTCGTGGTATAACATCTATCAACAGGTCGGGAAACATAGGTGCTCACCACCCAATGTTGCCAGGTAGTGCCCCAGAAACCTCCGCGGTACTCCTTCCTTTGGGGGAGTGTGGGCATTCAAAACACGTTGAGCACCGTATGAGTGCACCGTATGCACCGACTTAAGATGCCTTAAGTCAAAAGAACCATACTTAAAAAATGTGTGCATGTCCGTCTGTCAAGCGTACCCTTTTCTGTGTACAGCCATATCTCAAAATCTATTTGTTCGATTTCATACAAAATTTGCATGGAGGACCATATCTATGATCTTCTTATACACGTCAAGTGATTTTTTTCCCCTTGCTTTTCTCCTGTTATCATTGTCTTGGACTGCTTCGTAAACATTTGTTTCTCTGAAACAAGATTTATCGTAAGAAATGTTGGCGCCCCACACGAAATTACGCACTCGTTTGGGCCACACAGTTTTTACGCTCCTCACGAGGCGCCAGACTTATTTCTCATGGATTCGATCGACATGAATCGATCGAAAAATGAAAACGTGAATCGATCAACATGATTCGATCGACACCGATTCGATCGACAAATTATTAAAAAACCGGTGTCGATTCGATCGACATGAATCGATCGAAAAATGAAAACGTGAATCGATCGACAACCGTGAATCGATCGACAAACCCGTGAGTCGATCGACAAACCCGTGAATCGATCGACAAACCCGTGAATCAATCGACAAACTCGTGAGTCGATCGAATTTTGTCGATCGAATCGGTGTCGATCGATTCACGTCGATCGATTCACGTCGATCGATTCACGTTTTCATTTTTCGATCGATTCATGTCGATCAAATCGACATCGGGTTTTCAACAATTTGTCAATCGAATCGGTGTCGATCGATTCATGTCGATCGAATCGACACCGGGTTTTTAATAATTTGTCGATCGAATCGGTGTCGATCGAATCATGTTGATCGATTCACGTTTTCATTTTTCGATCGATTCATGTCGATCGAATCCATAATCCATTTCTTCGGTGCAAAATCAGTATATTCTTGGAATGTGTGGCAACGTAGAAGATGACAATAGACTTGAGAGCGGGGAGGTGGAGCGATTGGTTCTGTGTTTAGCTGTTAAAACAGCCGCGAGCTGCGTTTTCGTTTTTTATCTTCTCCCTCGCGCGCAGGCACAGGTACGATTTTCACGCTTGTCTGCGTTCGGGGCCCTTTCAACAAACGAAGATGAGAGCACCTATCAATAATCCTAACGAGGAGGAGCCGGCCGTTTTGCACAAATAATCCTCGGATTCCACACCTTTTCGCGGACGCGGAATATTCGCGATTAAATTGGCTACGCCGCTGGGGAAGGCATGAATAGAAAAAGGAGGCGGACCCGTCCAGTATTTCATAACTTAATTAAGGGCTTATTTCGCGCCTTGTGATCCCTGACAAGATTTTTCACCACAGACAAGAGTAAACCTTTTCGCAAACCTCTTGCCAGCGCGACGCACAGTGCGGCCCTCACTGGACAAAAATCAAAAATTCACAACTCGACATCTAAATATGGGCGTATCTCTGTCAACGGAACTAAGCGCCAATTTGAGTTCCTTTTGAGGAAATTAGAATTCTGGATAGCGCGCTCTGTCAAACGGAACTAAGCGCCATGGAAAAGCATTGCGAGTATAGGACGGTATGAGCCTATGAGCCCGACGCCCGATTCCGCCGCCAATCCAAGCCCCCCCCTCTACCTTCCTCCTCCGATGGCGCTTAGTTCCGTTTGACAGAAATACGTCCATATATTTTTTGAAGTTTGTCGTCTTAAATATATTTCTGACTCACATTGATGGCTCATTTTCAAATTCTTCGCTCGAGACTACTTTAAACTTGGGTAGAAAGTGGGCGGGAAATAGGTCGAGAATCACTGGTTCATAAGAAATACACGGGAAAAAGACGTCAACTTCAAATGAAGATTTCTCGCTTGAAACACAAAATGCTGTGGGTGGTTGACATTTTCTTAATCATCAGACATCCAACTTCAATTCTACCGAAAAGATCTTGCGACTTTTTGCGACTATCAGAGATAATTGAAGTTAAAGTTTGGGTGTCCCACGTTGCTTTCACATCGTTAACATAGGGCTAATTCGAGGTTGCCAACTTCAAATGAACTTTTCTCGAAATATACGCAAAAAATCCAAAGATAAAACATTTTTTTATTCCTCGAGTGTTTTA